TGAGGTGGGCTGGAAAGCTTGAGCAATCAGGCCGACCTGACACAGTCCAGAGAAAGTGCAAGACACAAAACTACTTACACATGGACCAACGTTTTTTAAGAGCTAGGAAGCTATGTGCCTAGTTTTTCTTGTTACACTTTTACAGTCAAGAATGCCTTGTTTGATCGTCTTTTGAAGCTTATCATAAAAGACATTAATCTGCTCTGGGTGTTTCTTTGTCACCAACCTGGGTTAAATTCTTTAACCTGTTTTCTTGGTACTAAGCCACCTGGATGATGTATTAAAGAATCTTTTCTCCCAAATACCACCATCCAAGCTCATTAGCCTTTCAATCAGTAGCCATTCTAAATATGTTCTGCCTATTGGACTCAAAGTGACCCAGAAGATTCTCAGTCTGTTTTCATCTACAAAGGTGTCTACATGGTAAATACCTCCCACACTGTTGGCACAGCTTGGCATTCATGTAGGAGCCTGGGCTGAGAGCCCTGGGATTCAGTGGAGCAGATAGCTCTAATTCCTTTCCCAGAGGTCATGGAAAAGAAGGCAGAGCTGGCCTGTCACAGTGTCCCTGGTCCACCAGGTGCTGGTGCAGCCTCAGAAGGCTGCCCCAGGCCTCTTGAGAGCAGTTTCATCTGCCCAGCACCCTTTTGACATTTCCTTTGCATCCCCGTCCTCCATGTCACCGTCCCACACTTGCTCTCTACCTTGTTCACTTCTTTTCCTCTGACCATTACCCTCAAGGAGAACTTTCATTATCAGTGCAGAATCTAGTACTTTATACATGGTAAGTAAGTGCTCTACCACTGACATATCCTCTGCCTGAAAACATTTTTTTTAAAAAAACTTTTAAAAAATTTTTTATTTATTATTTTTATTTTATGTGTATGCTTGTATTGCCTGCATGTAGGTAAGTGCACCCATGTCATACAATGCCCACCGAGGTCAGAAGAGGCTGTCGGATCCCCTGGGACTTGAGTTACAGATAGTTGTTAGCTGCCATGTGGGTGCTGGGATTCGAACCTGGGTCTTCTGCAAGAACAACCAGTGTTCTTAACCATTGAGCCGTCTCTCCAGCCCCAAAAAACATTTTTAATATAGAATAATATAGAAAAGTCACAAAGCATTAATTTTACGTAAATCTAGTATCTTGAATTAATAAATATTTTTAAATATTTATTGGTGTCATTTTTTCTAGGTAAAGGATTAAATCTGACACCCTCAAGACTCCTTTGATGCTGCCCTAATCCATCCCTCCCCTCTCCCTATTCCTTCCACCGTTACAGAAGTGAAAGCTCCCATAGTTTAGTGTATTTCCTCTGTCGTTCTTAAAAGCTTCTCTGCCTTGGGTGTGATTCCACATATTATTTCTCTGAGTGCATTCTAAAATCTGCATAAATGGTTTACCACACACATTTCTCAGCTCTCTTTTATTCTTTGATGTGCTTCTGTGTTATATCTACATTGACACATAGATCCCGTTCTTTTACTTTAGGTATCCATGTCCACTACATGAGTACACCACATGCAATCCAACTCCCCTGTGTATGAAAATTCTTATTACTTGTAAAGAGTTTCTTCACAGGTGTTTTGGTAGATAGGTATAAGGTTTCTCTAGTGATATATCAGAATGGAATGATTTATCAGGGGTTGGTTATACACATTTTCTTCTTTACTGTACACCCTCAACTTCTTCTCTGAAGAGATTTAGCAGTTCATAGTCCCTCTGAAGGTAGGAGACCAGTTTCTTTGCAGTTCTGTATAACTGTAAGTTTTTTGCCAACTTTCTTATATATTCTTTGTGCCTCTGTCATCTCTGCCTTTGGAGTGTAAGCCTGCCACATCCTCTGGTGAAATCTTCTACACAATATGTGTGTTCCATGCATGTTCTTACATGGTTACAGATGAAAAATCACTACGCTTAAAGTTAACCGTGTGCTCATTTCCCACAAAGAGCTTTTAGTATCACCCACCACTTTCATCTTCAGGTAAGAAAACTGATTGCCACTAGATTGGATTTGGAGCCCTTTCCAAATGTCCATCCTAGACCTAAGATTTCAGAGAATCCAGAAGACTTTGGGTCTCCCTTGTTATGGCAGCCCCTGTAGCCACTTAGCATTCAGGCTTCCTGAGCCTCTGTGGACACACTCCACACCAGTCCTGAATCTTGACTCTGGGTATTCCAGGCTAAAATGTATCAGTCACACTGACATATTGACCCTTCAGAAAATTCCCTAACAGTAATTGGATTATAAGTTTGGTTGAATGTAACCACTAGCTAAACTAACCGAGCTATCATAACGCAAATGGCTCAATATCATGTCTTCCATCTAGACAGCAGAATTTTTGTTTGATAGAGAATGATGAGGGGAGGGAAAGCACCCCCCTTCCTTTAAGGATCATAAGCCAGAAACCACACACTTTATTTCTGCTTATGTGATGTTAGCCGATCTGTAGATACATGATAAAACAATGTTGAAAAGATTATTAATCTGAGTTCTCATGTATCCAGGTAAACTAGGAAACTCTACTACCCTTACAAAAAGGTATTTTAGTGGCACAACCCCTTTAGAGAAGCTGAGTCATGCAGATTAGTCTTTATGATGCAATAGTACAGACTCTGGGGCTTTTACACCATTGCAATGCAATATAAACATTATATGTATTAAAAATGATGCTCTCTCACCAGGCATGGTGGTACATGCCTTTAATCCCAGCAGATGCCTGCAGATTTCTGTGAAATTGAGGCCAGCCAGCCTGGTCTACATAGCCAGTTCCAGGCCAGCTGGGGCTACAGAGAGACCCTGTCTCAAAAAAAAAAGAAAAAAAAAAAATCTCTCTGTGGTTCCAGAATATAGCAGAATAAGATACAACAAGCCAGTTTCTCTACCAAGAATTAGCACCTAAAAATCTCACCCCAACCCACCCAGGCCAAAACAGTGCCACCATCAGGAACTTCAATATGCATTTTGCTAGTATTGAGAAAGAAACAAAAATAGGTTATGAACTTGAGTCCAAAGTCATAGACGAAACACTTTTTTTCCAAATGTTTTTTTCCAGTCTGCACTTAAAAAAAAAAAAAAATGGAATAAAATGTCAGTTGAAATAAGGTGATAGAGAAAAAAAATTTATTCCAAGACCTGGACACAGTTAGCCTGGCTCCACACTCCTCCTTTAGAATCTGGAAGCCACTGGCAGAGTTAATAATTTGCATTTGTGAAAATGCCCAGGTAATAACACCAAAAGATGTTAAATCAATTCAGGTTGTTGAGTTTCTTTGAAAAAAAAATCTCTTCCAAAAGGACTTGGCGTTCTTTCTAGAATACGATTTAAGCTTCACGATGGATAGTTCAGTTCAGTACATATTAGTTGGGCATCTATTGTTTATAAAGCTTGGTACTCTGGATTCAGAAGATAGAAGATTGTGAGGGAAAAAAGGAAGGGGAAGTCCCTTTCAGCAGCTCAAAAGAAGACATAGATAAGTTTAATCAAAAACAGAGTGACACCTGCTACGGAGGTTTAAACAGTGGGATGGGACAGGATAAAGGAGATAGACTCATTCCAACTTAGGGTGACTAGGCCAGGCACCTGAATCATGGGCGACTTGAACTGGATTCAGCTGCTGAACTCTGATAAAAACCACATCCCATTGTCTCTTGACAGAGGCCAATTTCTTTTGCTGTTTGAGGATAGATTTGGGGACACTGGGGAATGCTGATTAGTTCCATCACTAATGCTGATTAGTGACAAATGTTGAATCATGCTGACTAATGTGTTCTAAATGGATTGACTCAACAATAAAGGGAACATTGAGAGTCAAGAGTTCAGGTCCTGAATCTCCCTCTGTGATGAAATGTAAATCACTTAGCCTCTAGCTCCTCTTCATCCTCTTTTTTTTGTCAATTAAAATGTTTTCATCCTAAGAATCCAATAAGTCACCTTGACTAGTAAGTACTTTACAAACCTCAAGGGTAACAGAAAGTCTTAACAACTACCAGGACAGGCATATGCAACCTTCAGTTTTTCATAATCCATACAGAATCGGACCATCCATCACAGCTTGTTCACTAGCCATGCGAAACTTCCATTTCCTCACATATGCCCTGAGAACTGACAAAGAGTGAACTGCACTCACAAAACCTGACAGAGGAGCTTTTGAAAAATCTTCCTATCTACCTACTGGGGTGTCTGTGTCTCTGGACAACTAACATCACCAGAGAACTAAGAGTTTGCATTGCACATACAGCTCTTTCTCTCTTTTGACATCTCCCCAGCTAGACTGCTTGAGAACCTGGCCTTCCATGTCCAGATGTTTACTGAATTCTGAAGGCCCCCCAAAGGGCCCAAATTCTTTTGTTGCTCTCCAAATCATTTCCCACAGAGACTGACCTATGTCCTAAAGGAGCCCTTCAATGGGGAGGATAAATGAAGGCAGATGAAGACATGACCCCCTGAGGCTTGCCCGAATCCACTCTAACAAAGGCTCTGAGGCACAACCTTGTAAGGAGTGTTTTGGTCAGCAGCGTCCCTATGAGAGGCCAAGTCTCCCCCACAGGGCCGCTTTCAATGGCTACCATCATAGTGGAAGTACTGAGCATTTGTTAAGGGCTATGGAGTGCTAGGTGTAGCACAAAACATCTAAATCTTGGCTCCCAGCCTTTGTGAAGGTTTCCTGGCCACAGACGGCAGCTGGCTTTCTCAGGGGAACCTTGGGGGTAATAGAGAAAACCAAAGAGTGGCTCCCCTGTCTTTGGATGCCCTTTTCCCACCCAGTACTGATGGACTTCCCCTTTTGTGTGTAGTTCTTAGCAGTCAAGTCAGAGCTGCCAGACTGAGTGTTTCTGGGTGTCTCTGGGGCATGCAAGGGTTGGCTCAGTGTGTAACAGAAATGGAGGGGACTGCTGTGTAGAGAAAGTTTTATTTAGATTACTAGTGGGAAGCTAGTACATTTCATGACAATATTTATTTTTCAAACTTTTCCTCTCTTTCTGTCTTTTACTTTTAGGCCAACAGAGGCCATAGGGATACTGTGACCTTTGTCTAGAGCTGATGGGCTGCGACTTGTGAAATGAAACAGGACCATGCTGCTTGGAAGAAGGAAACGGAAGCCAACATAATGAGGATTAATTAGTTGATTGCTGTTGAGATGGTAACAGATTTGCTTCTCGGCTATTGAGCCAGTGATTTCAGACCTCGCAGGGAAGGTGAAGATGAAGAAGCCTTTGTTCAGGTCTCTAGATATGCAGGGCTGGGAGCTTTACCACCATGGAATGTAAGCAGCCATAATAATAATTTGCACTTATATAGCACCTTTCAACTATGCACCTCAAAGCGATTTAGCCACATTAATTAATTAAAGCCCACAATCCCCCTGGGGAGAGGAGGAGGAGGACTAACAAGATTTGTAATTACAGGAGGGACCATTTCCGAATAAAGTATTGTCCACCAAATAAAAAGAATAGGTGTAAAAGAATTGGGGTCTCCAAAGAGTGATTCACAAATGGGACTATTGGGGGAGGTGCTGGGAGCAGGCATGGGCCCGGGGGTCTGCTCCTGTGTCAGAGGGAGGTCGGGAGCCTCAGAATTCACTGACAGGTTCAGATCCGACCAGGAAGCAGAGCATGTATGGCATTAGTGGTGTTTGGAAGGTCATTAGTGGTGTAACTATTGTAGCATAAATTCACATTTCATTGGTATATTGTGTGGAGCCTTGCAGAACAAAGAGAGAGATTCTCACAGTATTTAACAAAGGATGAAATGATTTCTTTAGACTGAAAGCCCACAGCTAGACCACTCAATTAGCAAATAAATCAATTGGTGACCCATGGGATAATTTAGTCCTTTCTACAGAACACCCAGCCTACCAGTTGCTGCTGCCCTGAGGCTCCTGGCCAAAGTATCAGGCTGAGTCGGTTCCATGCAATGTTTGGGTGCCTTAAGCCCCTTCAAAGTCAGGCATTAAATCTTTCCAGGGGTTGGCAAGGTGACTCAGGTGATAAAAATATGTATTGCCAAGCCTGATGATCTCAGTTTGATCCCAGGAACACATATGTTGAAAGGAAAGAAACAACTCCACAGATTTTCTTCTGACCTCCATACACATGCCTGCAGAGAGAGAGAGAGAGAGAGAGAGAGAGAGAGAGAGAGAGAGAGGGGAGAGAGAGAGAAATGTAAAGTTATTTTGAATAACAGCCTTCCCAGCCTCTGGTATTGCGACCCTTCTATCCAAGTTGTTAGTGACCCCAAGCTGACTACTTAGAATCATTTTGTGTCTGTTCCTTTTTTGGAGATGTTAAATGCCTTAGGAGCTAGAATCTCATCATACCCTATTTCCTGCCTCCTCTTAGTGCCCAACAGAGTGCTGTGCACAAAGTCAGAAGGGAAAGATAAAGAATGGTTGAAAGACTGAATCCGTTAACAAGGTGGCAGTTCTTAAGCACATAGCAAGTGCTCGGGCAATGCTTAAAAGAAGTTGGGGGTATAAACGAATTGAAGAAAGACTCAAAAACCAATAGCTTATACAAACAATAAAACTAAGTGGCAGAGAATCAGGGAAGGTGTTCCTGGGGAGGGAGAGCAGGATTAGGGTAGATCTGGGAGAGGTTGCTGAGGTAGCTGCTACAGGCTGAGGCCATGTGCCTCCTTCTGAGTGAGGTACATTGTGAGAACCTGTGGTTTTCCATAGAAGGTTTGCAAAAACCAAGCTGAGTTTTGCAACTGATTAAAGTATAATTTCTCATGCATTCTAGTGACATGAACTGAGTAACTTAAAGCAACAAAGGAGTATTTGAAAACATGGTGATGAGGTTTAGTATGCACTAGCCCCCCAAATGAGGAAATAGCAGAAGGAAGTTCACTGTCTTCCTCCCACCCACCCCCACCCTTTTCCCTGAACAGCTCGTAAACCTAGTTGTCTTTTTCCTGAAGTCAGTCATAAAAACTTCATTCTAGAGGTGCCCTCCCTAGACCCAGAAGAAAGGAATGTCCTTATCCCTGAAGACTCAGAAATGCAGAGAATATGAGTAAACAGGCCTCAGGTCTTCCCGTGGTCCACCACATTAGATCACACCTTATTGTGCAACCACATTTCTGCTACTCTTCTTCAAAAGAAAAAAATGTATTAGGGGGTCTCTTTCTTTGGGTCTCATTCCTGAAAACTCCATGTCATATAAAACATATTAAATAAATATGTATGTTTTTCTCTTGTTGATCTGACTTTCACCTAGAGGCCTCAGCCACAGTGCTTGCAATGGAGAAGGAAAAGATATCAGGGTTTCTCCCCTACAGTTTCTGGTGTCCAGAATAGAGTGGCTGAGACACCCCACTTGCTGTGGAACCTGCAGATGAGGTCCTTGGACAACTGACAGAAAAGCCAGTGGTGTGAGAATTCTTACTGAAGTTGGCTCAGACTTCTGTTTATAATGCCTGGTTGAGAGAGAAGGTAGAAATTTCTCCTTGGCCCATTCTTTCCAAGCTCACATTATCAGGACAACACTTGTTCAAACTGTGACTGTCTAAAAAAATGTTAGCTTGGAGCTACCCATTTACACCAATCTTTCCCTCCCAGGAGAAGCTCTCTTTCTCTCTCCTTATTTCCCTTATTCAGTGTCCTCAGTACTTGGCTTCACTTTGCATCTATCAGCACATCCAAATGATCCGTTTTGCATGTATAGGCAGCCATCTTCAGACTGAGGAGCCACAAGAATATGGCTACATGCACCTAATTAGTGACTAATATACCTACTGATGCTGGCTTTCAGGAACTTATCTGTATCTTTATTTCTTTTGGTTCTCTTTGGGGTTGGTCCTAGACCTGGCAAGGGCTGTATCCTTTTGCCTCTCTTTTGAAGAACTCTGTTTCATCCAATGTTAAATCGTGTGTGTGTGTGTGTGTGTGTGTGTGTGTGTGTGTGTGTGAGAGAGAGAGAGAGAGAGAGAGATTCATTTTGTTCTGGCTTCTGAATCATTTAATAGATACCTTTGATTTAAGAGAAGAAATGGATAAATAACTATCTAAACTTTTCTCTTGTCAAGCTGTGTTTTCTTATAAGAGTGTCTGAGGCTGGAGAAATGGCTCAGCGGTTAAGAACACTGATTGTTCTTGCAGAAGACCTGGGTTTGAATCCCAGCACCCACATGGCAGCTAACAGCTGTCCATAACTCCAGTTCCAGGGGATCCAACAGCCTCTTCTGTCCTCCACGGGCATTGCACAACACAGGTGTACTTACCTACATGCAGGCAATACACACATACACATTAAAAAAAAAATTAATACATTTTTTTATAAAAGAGTGTCAGCCATGAACCTTGTATTAACTGAGTAAAAGATGCCACTGCCTCCCCTCTCTTGGGAAAAATGTTGTTAATTCTCCATCACTCTTAATTGGGCCTCTCTCTACTTTTACTAGACCAAAAAAAAAGAAAGTACATTAAAATGGGTTACTCAAAATTGTCTGAAAAGTTGTTACAAAAGGAAGACATACCCTGACCCAAAATGTGAAAGACTAAAGTGGCTTCCTCCTGGAGACACCTGGGTTTTTTTAATTTTATTTTTTGTTTGTTTGACTTTTTTTGACCCCAGAATGCTCTAAGTGCCCTGTATCCAGGAGTTGACAAATCCAAACTGTCCTCTCCTACTCTGATGTACCCCAGGTCTTTCACCACACATCATGTTGCTCAGCCAGGCCTGGGCCCTGGCTGTCACACTGAGCACTGCCTGGAGTGTGACACACTGCACAGTTAATCCTAGCTGATTCTTTCTGTAACCTGGTGAAGTAGGTTGTCATAGTGTTCCTTCTGCACTACAGGTGGACAGAGGGAAGAGAGGTCCCATCTTTTCTTGGAAAGGATGGAATAGGGATTTGAGCCCAAGCTGTTTTCTGTTCTTGGCCGTTGCTGCCTCTCTTATCCCTGCACACTTCACTACAGTAGTACTCAGCACAATACTATACACACAATTCTATAGGCACTGAGTGAATACTTTCCAAATAATCAGCAGAAGAAATACTACTGATTGGATTCTGTGCTCTGAGTAGTGGCAGCACAGGGCTTGGGCGTCAAGCTGAGGAAAAGAGAGGAGTATCACCACTGCCTTCTCATTTTCATCACTGTTAAGACTAGGAGATACATGCAGGGAAGTTGTTCCAGGAAGGTGCCCTGGAAAGAAGGCCCCACTGAAAACCAGTACCACCCAGGGGTCGCCACGCATCTTGTATTTTTATTACTTTTATTGATGATGTGTTTGAGGTTTTTAAAATGCACGTATACCCCTCTCCTCTGCAGAGGTACTGCAGCCCTGGAGGATTGAGAAGTATACTGAACTAACCCACACAGGCTGAACACGGCACACACTACCCTTTAGATTGTGTGTTGTGAGCAAAACAAAGTTACCGCTCAATCAGGATTGCATCAAAGACTAGATTTGTCAAAAGAAAATTCTAGAAATGGAGGCTAATGAAGAAGAAACAGGTGAAAAAAAATGAGGTTTAAAGTATGTGATTCTGGCTAGAGATATGTGGTCAGATCCTAGAAGTATCACTCATGGGATGCTTTGGTTTCAATCTCACTATGTTCTCTTTGGTCCTATAGTTGTGGAAGGACCACCTTTACTCCCCAACATAATTCATACTTAAACATCAGAAGTCTCTTTTGTCCAGATGGGAAGAAGGAACCCATCATAATTCTTAGCTGACTATGCTATGAATGAGAGAAAACACTGTGCCACTTCTCTGGGTTCTGGTGAAGAAAGGGCTCAGATGGAACACAGTTTCTTTAATTTTCTACCCCACAGAGACCTAGAAGGAAAGAAAACTGATAAATCATGAGATATAAATCAAGACAAGTTATATTTTGCTGTCCAGATCGTTCTCCTTCATGTGGTAACTCCGTATTACACTCGATGTCAGTATGCGTTTCCAGGCTGCCACTCTGGTAGGGTTGGGATTAAGAAAGAAATCCGGAGGCTGAAGAGACAACTCAGAGGTTTAGCACACTGATCTTCCAAAGGACCTAGCTCCCACGTTGGGCAGTTCACAATCACATGTAGCTCCAGCTCCAGGGGATCCCACACCCTCTTTTGGCCTCCTCAGGCACCGGCACACACCTGGCATACACTCACATGGACACACACATATAGGTAAATTAAAAAAATAATAATAAATCAGAAAGAAACAAAGAAAGATCAAGCACTAGAAATTAAGTGCTCCCCCAAGAAATGACACACACCACTTCTGTCCTACCATGCAGTCGTGCAGTCTCACCTAAAGAAGGGGGAATGACAAACTCCCCATGTATCTAGAAGTGAAGAAGACCTGTCTACGTAGTAGTGAACACTTAAACATCTGCCACTGTGGGCTCCTTCCAAAGTCATTTCTTATATGTGTCTTCCCCTTGGATTGCTTGGCACAGATCCCAGGTCTATGGGGTATTGTTGAGGAAGAGAGACTAAATGGTTCTGTAGCCCATTTTTGTCT